CTTGTGATCGGTTCCCCCTTTCCAACCATCTCCTCCCAGTATCGCCACTCACACCACTGGTGTTCGGTTACCAATAGGTCAGTGGTTGGAACCTACTCTGCCAGAATGATGTAGTCAGTCCCTTTCCAGCCTTGGAAACCCACTGGGATTATTTTCTGTCCTATACAGTAGGGATGAGCCTGAATTGGCTCCATGATGTTCACAACAAAATGTGCATTAAATATTGCAAAAACAATCAGCATAATAATTAGTATATACAAGGGGGCTTCAAAAAGTTCTTGAAAAATTCCATTATCTTTTCATTCCATTTTCCCACGAGCTTTCGAAGGTCCCCTCATAAAATACAATGATAACTGTTACTTTCCCTTCACTGCTCTTTCACTCAGTGGCTCTCAGTGAATGTTTCTTCAGCAATTATTGCAATCAATCAATACCTCCATGGCTGGAGATAAAAAGATGAACAAAAATCTGATCCCATAGGAGATCAACAATATGAATGGGAAGGGTTTGGCACCTACAATGAGAGTAAGACATGTTCTCATGGATTGATCTAGTCAGTGGGTTTCTCTAAAAGTACAGAAAGAAACAATCTTAAAATCTGTGGGGGGGAAAAAGTGTGAAGATTTTACCCAGGAATATTGTTTTATCTAGAACTTAGAAACGAATAGGAGATTTTCTCCAATATTATATAAAAATACTGCCATGGGCAGTATTGTACAATAAAATTATTTGTGCCTTATCTGAAGTTAGTTCAAATTCAATAGGGCATCCTGTATTTTATTTGCTGAAGTTGGCAATCTGCTCCTGGGAAAAGTGTACGATCTAGAGCCATCTAGGATCCATTGCAGGAAAAGCAAGCACTATATATATACAGGGGGGCTTCAAAAAGTATGTATGTAGATATATTTGTATCTGTATAGATAAAGGTACTGAAATGCAAGTGCTTCTGTGCCTGTATGTGTGTGTGTGTGAGGACAGAGCAGGTCTCTGTAGCTCTCTAGTACAATAGACTAGAGAACAGTCAAGCCTTGGAGCTTTCACTTACTAGCTGTATAATTATGGGCAAGTTATCTCATTTTCCGTGCAATTTCCTGCTCAATAAAATGATCACTTCAGGGGGGAAAAAAAAGATAACATCAGTTCTTACCCCACCAGCTGAACCAACCTCAGAGATCAATGGGAAGTGATAATGGTGTTTTTTGCCTTTAGTTTTTGGTTTTGCTTTCAAGTAGATTCCAACTCAAAGAGACCCTACATGACGTAGCAGAACTGCTCCATGTGATTTCCTGAGGTGGAAGCTTTCTGGAGACTAAGAGGCAGTTGTTGGAACTGATTAAGGGGATACTGAATGATTTAAAATCAGGAAGGGTATGTGTTAGGATGCTGTCCTTTCACCATACTTATTCAATCTGAATGCTGGACTGTATGAAGAGCAGGGAAGCAGAACTGGAGGAAGACATTACTCGCAATCTGTGAGATGCAGATGACACAACCTTGCTTGCTAAAAGTGAGGAGGACTTGAGGCATTTATGGATGAGGATCAAAGACAACCTACAGCCTTTAGTATGTATGACACTATTCTCACAACTGGACCGATAGCAGACGTAAACATGACAAACAGAAATGAATGCAGTTGTTAAGAACTGCATTTACTTGGATCCAAACACCCAAGGAAGCATCAGGGTTTTTAGTATTGCTTTTTTTGTTTTAATTTTATAAAGTCTATCCCCAGAGGGACAGCTAGTGGATTTAAACTGCCAATCTTTAGATTACCATTTGAGCACTTAACTGTGTGCCTACAAGATTCCTACTGTGAGGACTGAAAATGAGTTACTACATGTAAAGTGCTTAACACAGAATAAGGACTTAGTATATGTAGTCATTATTATTATCACCACTATTAATAGCATCGTACGATGTAGCATGGTTCTTAAAATAATAGAGTAAAAGTCACAACAAACACTATACAGCAAACAATGAATAATTATTACATTGAATTGTGTGACTGCAGATTTTACAAGCCGGTCATAGTTCAACATCCTGACAGCTCTGTGCACACAGACTTAACAATCTTGAGGCAACTACCTTCTGAAACCAATTTTTAAAATTTCCCCCAACCCATTAAAACGTTCAAACAACTATGATAGCATCCTATAGGCCAGCAGCATAAAGATTAAACACACAAGCTTGGGGGATTTAAGGATATGGCTTTGATTCTCTGTTGTCACCATTTACTATCCATGCAACTGTGAGCCAGTTACGTCATTTCTCTGCTCATTTGATGCAAAGTTTCCTCATCTGTAAAATGCAGTTAATACATACTGCAGTTATTAGGAAAATTAAAGAGAATGTATTTGATTTAGCACAGCAGCTGGCAGACCTAAGTGTTCAGAAAATGGTAACTCGCTATTTTAATAAGACTATCATTATGGATTTTGTAACATACTATAGTATGCTTCCCTGCCAAGTCTTAAGTCAAGCATATGTAAGTTCTGGGTAACAGGAAGTCTGAAATGGCCAAACTGTTGAACATCACAAGATTTGCTCTGTAGGAATCTTCATTCCTTTTCACTGTTGTCCTACAAGCTATTTCATATACTGAAACAGAAAATCCCCCCACTGCATCTGAGAGAATAAAAAATGTGGAGAAGCCTATGGGTTCAGCTGATCTTTCCAGTTGATAGTATATGCTCTCCTTCAATTATCCATAGCACCTTAAATTCCCCGTTCTTGTGGCACTATATCATACTGTACACTTTGGTCTTAGACCATTATGTGTATGTCTCATGTGACTAATGCAGGACTGAGACCATTATCTTTGTCATCTAGTCTCTCCCAAAACTCCTGACAAAGCAGGCCTTACACACAGCAGATGTGAAACAAACAATTGCTAAATGAAGGTATTTGACAAATATACTCAATGAAATAATTTCTGTGCCAGTTTTCACAGTCATGAAGCGTTGCAACATGACTTGGGGACTGGACAATTTTAAGTCAAAATAGCTCACACAGCAGCAAATCATTTAATGTGACTCTTCTAGCCATACCCTTTATTCCTCTGACCAAACCACCTTCGTTTTCCTAATCGGTTTGGGTAAGAAGGGGGAAGATACTGATTGGATTATATGATTCCATTGTGAGTGATTTTTCTTTTTTAGGGCTAAAAATATAATAGTATACAGCCTAAGATACAAATACTTCGTAAGAAGGGACAGACCACAACAGCATTCAAAAAGCCAGGGAAGAAATTTCTGTCATATAAGTAAGGATACTTACAACCCAGAACCTGTTCCAGTCCTGTCTGTAGGGTGGTCAGCTGGCCACGTATCAAGATCGATACAGCATAATCAAGATTACAATGGTCTCTGCCTGTTAGTCAGGCTGTTCGAAGACTCTTGCCTGTGTGTGATTGTTAGCAGAATTAACAGCAATCCTGCTGGGCATCAAATCTTCCATCTCAACGGTAGGAAGGGGATCTCACTACCAGTGAGAGAAGATCCGGGAGTGGATCCAGAGATCCCCGGGTACAGAATGTGTTTTAGGCAGGAGAGAGCTTTGACAAGAGAGGTTGACAGCAGTGGAACCAGGAGCCAGAGCCCGGGGAACTTCCCAACCCACAGAGCAAATAAAGCTGAGTGCCTTCAGAAAGGAGACTGGCTTGCAGAGTGGGGTGCCTCTAAGCACTTAACTGGGGCAGTTGACTTGACTCATGGAGCTGAGCACCTTTAGACTATGGCTTATAGTGAAGAACATGGCTTCGGGGCATTGTTAGCAACCTTGTACGAGCTTTGTAACTTTGCCCAAGTAAGGCAGAGGCCAGGCTAAGTGGCTCTGGGCCAGAGAGAGGCCTGACATGGCATGTGGACACAGCAGAGAAGAAATGTCCTGACATAACAAGTGTACCTGAGCATTTCGCAGCTGAATTTATGTAACTTGTTAGCCATGATCATGAGCGTTGTCTGTGAGTTCTGTGTGGCCATTGCAATTAATTATCGAACCTAGCCACAGAAAAAGAGCCGGTTTGTGTTGGAATCAGTAAGGAAAGTGAGAAGACAGGGGCAGGTATGACCCTGGCCTCAAAGGAACTGGCCTTGGGCAGCTGATGGTAGTAATAATGGTGAATTTTCCTTCCAACTTGTGAAGTGAGAGGTCAGACTCCGCATGCTCCCCTTTGTTTTTAACACCGTTTTTATAAACGTGTGTGATTAAAACCCAAGATTATAAATCTTTATTCTACAATGAGTCACTTCACAAAGTTACAGATCGGAAGGAAGACCAAGTCTTAGATACTAAAGACCACCTGGAGGATGAGGAGAGCTAAAAAGAGAAGAAAAGCAACAAGTTCTGATCCTGTGGCCTAACACTAAGGGCCATGACCCAAAGCACAGAATTGGGAGTGTGTGTGTGGGGGGGTGGGGGGTGGGGGGTGGTGGAAGTGTTGTTGTTTTTAAATTTCTATCAGAGATCATATAAGCCAATCGCTGTGCTATCCAACTTTGAAGCACGGTTCATATCATAGGTTCCTAATCTTCAGTGGTCAGGAGAAAATAGTGAGAGATAATCACAAAAATTTAGCAAAGGCAACCTCATGGACAGGTCACTGTTGCCCAAAGTCAAATTCACTGTCATCTAGTTGATGCTAACTCACAGGACCCTGTAAGGCAGGGAAGAACCACCCCCTTTCAGTTTCTGAAACTGTAACTCTTTACGGGAGTAAAAAGCCTTCTTTTTCCCAGGGAGCAGCTGATGGTTTTGAACTGGCAACCTTGCAGATCATAGCCCAATGTGTAACCACTATGCTATCAGGGTTGTTCCAAAGTAAAAAGACACACATTCATTTAATCATCACGCTGTGAGCAGAAACTTCATCTCACACAACCAGAAAGCGCAATTCTCAAATATGTTCTCTGTCTTGCTTTGCCTTTTCCTTCTCTTTGGAACCAGTTGGCTGTGCACTGATTAACCTTTTCAGCTTGATGATTAAGCAGTGCGGTCTATTGGGTGAGGGTGCAGGCTCTGAACCCACAATTCCTGGGTCAGAATCCTGGCTCTGCCACTTACTAGGTGTGTGATCTTAGGCAAGGTTCTTAAGCTGTGTCTTTAGTTTTTCCAGGTCGAAAATGAAAATAGCAGGAATCACCTCAGCTATTGTTAGAAATTAGTTTAAAGGGTTTAAAGTAATATCTGGTGCATAAGAACTTAATAAATACTGGCTCATATTGCTATGAGGATGCTGAGATTTTGCCTTGCTCACCTGGGACTTGCAGGTGAGGGACCAAGCAGGATAGCATGCTCAGTAAAGTTGAGGGGCAGTGGAAGCAAAGACTCTCAAAGATAGGGATCCACAGTGACAACAACAATGGGTGCAGATAGCGATTTTGAAGATAGAGAAGGCCTGGACATTTCAGCCTGTTATCCATGGTTGCTAAGCACAGTGCCTAATGACAGTCACAACACTGTTGTCCTCGTTACCAGGTAACTACTCAGTTCTCCCACTGCCCTTGGCCTGAAATTAATACTAAAAGTTAATGGCTAAAGAGCGTTTTACCTGAAATTAATACTAAGTTAATGGCTAAAGAGTGTTTTACCACCTGAAAGACCTAAAAACCATGTCTCATACCTGGCAGCTGCTTCTCTCTTCCCATCTTCTAGCGTCCTCCAGTGGATGTGATCGCCAAAACCTGGAAGGAAAGAGCCTTATAAGCATTCACATGACCACTATAGGCAGAGGTCCCAAAAAGAAGTGTGGCATGCTCTCAAGGTGCCCACAACAAAGGCTTTCTTTATCAAGAGCCTTTTGTTTAAGTTTCACCTCCACTTTTTAGGTGTGTGGGACCTTGGACATCCTAAACCATAAAATGGGGATTAAGTCGTTTCCACTGCCATTGAGGCAAGTCCAAGTCAAAACAACCTTTCAGGACAGCATACAATTGCTCCATAAAACCGGTACCGAGAAGGGAATCCAAGACAGATGAACCGCTCAGGGACAGTAATGGGAGTAGAGATACCATGAATGTAGGGGGAGGGTGGTGGGAGAAGGGAGAGAAAAGGGAAACTGATGGCAAT